GACAGACATCCTAGGAACTGAAGTTGTTAGGAATTTTTGGGCAGGTAATATTGATACAATTGAACAAAGCATGGTAGGGGAACTACAGTACCCCAGCATAGACAGGACTATGCAATGTGATCCTAATCTGTGTTGTTTTTTAAAAAAGGCAGCTACGAAATATCTTTATAAATTATAACTATCACGCAAAATAATGATTTTAAGTAGTATACTGAAAGTGTAAAGGAAAAAACGATTACATTTGGGTTTGAGTAACTTAAGAAAATATTTCAAATTATGTTGTAATAAAAATGATGTGTTGAAAATTATTGTTGGTAAAATGGAAGCTAAATACACATTTGGTTATTAAAATGTTTTCTACTGGTGGTCGTGATTGATGGAGGTGGTGGCTGGGAGTGATGGTTGTGCAGTAATGATTGATGGTGATAATCTAATAGTTTTCAACTAAATATGATAGTTGTGACATAGTGATTACTAACTAACAAAATATTGGTCGGTGGTGATTAGTAGATGCAGGTTGGTGGCTGGTGGTATAAGTGGTCAGTGCAGGTGGTTGGTGGAGGCTCGCATAGAGGTGTTTGATAGTGACGATTGTCCGCTAAATGCAGATAGTTGAGGATGTTGGTAATTGTAGCTAGAGATAAAGGTAGCTGGCGATGGTAGTTCTTATGTAATGGTGACTAGCGATATAAGTGGTCGGCGATGGTGTATGTGTAGTGGAGACTGGTGCTAGTGGTTATACAGTGGTGCGAACTAAATAGTGCTAAAATATCATCTTCGCATGAACATTTAAATGATCAACATATTAATGATTTGAAGAGTCACTTAATTAAATATACTTTAATTAAATGTGATTATGAATAAATTCATATCTCCATTAAAAAGCTATATTTATTTCTTAATTTTCAACATTGCCATGCTTATGTGCTTGATGTTTCTATCTATCGAAAAAGGGCCAAATGTGTCCCTCTACTTTTGTAATTTGATTAAGTTGGTCGGTATTATTAGGGTTGGAATAATTTTTAAAAGTTTACTAACGGTAAGGATAATTTTGACCTGATAGTATAACAACAAGGGTAAATTTAACCGGATAGTATAACGACAAGGACAAATTTGGCCAGATAGTATAACAGAGGCTAAAAGTAAACAATATTCGAAAGTGGAGGGGTATATTTAGACATTTTCCCTTCTATCTAAGTGGGCTCAATATTATTAAATATTCATGAAAATTTAAATGACAATCAAGGTGCCAATGGAAAACAAACTCAAATGGTAAAACTAAAGTCAATAAATTTCACAAAGTTCAAATTTCTTCAAAAAATTATTATGCGATGTATTTAGACTAATTTTGAGGTTAAACGGCTAATCTTTTCATGATTATTCTTAGAATCTGCAATCGACCTCTCGATCAGCTACTACCAGCTCTGAAATCTGTATAGAAAGTGCAAAGTACAATACCAGTACAACCGACCCCATGTACTAGTAAGTGCCGAACCTAATCTCGATGAGGTAGTAACGAGGCTACGGCGGGGCATTTACAATAACCTGCATACAATATATAATAAAGCAACAAGGAAGTACTTGCAACAAAAATAAATACGGAACTCAATTATCTTGCCAGTACTCAGCTATAACCAATCCTTAGAGAGTTACAATGCTACAGAATAAAATCACAGCAGAAGAAGAATACATAAACAACAAAATGATGTGGCGCGCATCCCAATCCCACCATATCATCAGTAACAATATGAACATTCACCCTTATTACTCCATATCAATCCACCCTTATTACTCCTGTTGCTGCGCGCAACCCGATCCCACCAGACAATAATAATCCACCATTATTACTCCTCAATATATCACCCTTATTCCTCCTGTTGTAGCACGCAACCCGATCCCACCAGACAATCACGTTTCACCCTTATTTCTCCTCAATATATCACCATTATTCCTCATATTGCGGCGTGCAACCCGATCCTACCATATCAGTACCAATCACACAATAAGAATAGAAATTGCACATTTTAGCTCAAAACCCTCCAAAATATTTAAGCCTCAGACCAAAGCAAACAGAAGGCTATACAATTATGAAACTTCACTCAATTAATACTACATAGCGAGACCAACCAAAGTATACTATGAAACACCGGTAAACCAGCCTAAACCAATAAAGAAACAACATCTAACAAGAAGCAATTAGACATGGAAGCACCAATAAGCATGTAGCAGTTAAGACAGGAAGACAATATAAGAGAAACGGGGAAGGGAACATGCTAAACAGACAATTTGGTGGTGCATAGGTACTCGTCACCTCATCTATACGCCACACACATGGATTTTTCACATAGCAATTAAGTCGGGGATCCCTAATTCCTCAAGTCAAGGTTAGACACAACACTTACCTCGATCCAACGGCCAACTCAAAGCTCAATTACCGTTTTTCCTCTAGATTCCACCTCCAATCCACTCGTATCTAGTAATAATTAACTTAATAACATCAATTATCGCTAAAGAAATTAATTCCAATAAATAATTATAAGTTTCCCAATATTTCTCCCAAAAAGTCAAAAACCGAACCCTGACCCACTTGGTCAAAACTCGAGGTTCGGACCAAAACCCATTCACCCACGAGCCTAAATATGTAATTAGTTCCGGAATCCAACCCCAAATCGAGGTCTAAATCAATAATTTATAAAAAAAATCCCAATTCTTCCTAAATCCCTAATTCTACTATGAAAGAACAAGATTTAGGGCTAGAAATCTAATGGGTGTTGATGGAAAATGAAGGAAGTGAGTTAAAGAACACAAACCTATGATTTGGTGTTGAAATCCCTCTTCAAGAATCGCCCTACGTCGAGTTATAGAGATGAAATATGAAATTTGGGAAGAAGTCCCATTTTTGAAGTCTGTTTTAAAACACTGGACAGGTCTTCATCGCGTTCGCGAGAGCTGTCGCGATTGCGATGCACTGTGGCCAGAACGGCCTTCGCGTTCGTGAAGTGATGTTCGCATTCGCGATGGTCTGTCCCCCCTGACCATCGCGTTCGCGGCCCTAGGACCGCGTTCCTGTAGAATAACTCATGATTCCCAGCCCACTTCCATTTTACTCTATGCGTTCGCATGATGTCGGTCGTGTTCGCGAAGAGCAGCCCCCCAGTGCTCCCGCATTCGCGACCATGGCTACGCGTTCACGATGAGCAATGGATGCTAGCTCCAAGTCATGAACTGGATAATTTTTCTCGTGAATCTTCAACTGCCGCAAAGCATATGCAATAACCTTGTCACCCTGTATCAATACCGCACCAAGTCCAATATGAGATGCGTCACAAAATACTGTATAGGGCCCTGAACCTGTGGGCAACACCAACGCCGGAGCCGTAGTCAAAGCTGTCTTGAGCTTATGAAAGCTCGTCTCGCACTCGTCTCACCACCTGAACGGGGCACCTTTCTGGGTCAACCTGGTTATCGGGGCTGCTATAGATTAAAATCCCTCCACAAACCGATGGTAATAACCCGCCAAACCCAAGAAACTCTGTATCTCTTTAGCTGATGTGGGTCTAGGCCAGTCCTTGACTGCCTCAATCTTCTTAGGATCCACCTGAATATACTCTACTGATACAACGTGACCCAAGAAAGCAACTGAACTCAACCAAAACTCACATTTCGAAAACTTAGCATATAACTGGTTGCCCCTCAGAGTCTGAAGAATGATCTGAAGATGCTGCTCATGCTCCTCTCGACTGCGGGAGTAGATCAAGATATCATCAATAAAAACAATCAAGGAATCCAAATAGGGCTTGAACAGCCGGTTCATCAAATCCATAAATGTTGCTAGGGCATTTGTCAACCCAAATGACATCACTAGAAACTCATAATGCCCGTACCGGGTCCGAAAAGCTATTTTAGGGACATCGGATGCCCTAATCCTCAACTTATGGTAGCCAGACTTCAAATCGATCTTCGAAAACACCTTGGCACCCTGAAGCTGATCAAATAAGTCATCAATCCTCGGCAATGGATACTTGTTCTTGATGGTGACTTTGTTCAACTGCCGATAGTCTATGCACATCCTCATCAACCCATCCTTCTTCTTTACAAACAACACCGGTGCACCCCAGGGCGAGACACTAGGTTTAATAAAGCCCTTATCAAGTAAATCTTGCAACTGCTCCTTCAATTCTTTCAACTCTGGCGAGGCCATGCGGTACGGCAGAATAGAAATGGGCTGAGTGCCTGGAGCCAAATCAATGCAAAAGTCAATATCCCTGTCGGGTGGCATCCCTAGCAGGTCTGCAAAAAATACCTTTGGGAACTCCCAAACAACTGGTACAGAATCCATGGAAGGAACCTCCGCACTAGAATCACGAACATAAGCCAAGTAAGCCAAACACCCCTTCTCGACCATACACCGAGCCTTCATATAAGAAATATTATTCTTAAAATACTCCCTCCATCCCATTTTATGCGAATCTGACTTACAAAGATTTAAGAGATTTATATTTGAGTTTTTCTATTCAAGATGGAAACATTATCAAAGTCTTTACTAAGAAAACTTACCTATTTTTAGGTAGACTACTTCTTTGAAAGTTAACACTCGAAAGAAAAAGAATACTCCCTACAATCCAAAATAAGTAATTTTTTGGTTGTTTTCACACAGATTAAGAAATCCACCTTTTAACATTAATTAGCAATAAGATTGACCATATTAACCTTTAGTATCTCACATAAACACTCCTAATACATACTCCAACACTATTTACTCCAAGGGCAATGTAGAAAAAAAATAATTAATTCATTCTTGAAGTCTGAAAAAATTACTTATTTTGGACCACAAAAAAAGACTAAAAAATCACTTATTGTGGACCGGAGGGAGTAGTACGTTTTAGACATAATAAACAAAAAATTCTTCAAAAATTATTATTATCAAAAGGTGCCAATTAAAACACCACCACAAAAACAAAAGTTTACACCAAACAAAAAAGAAAGATCAAACTCCATCCTCCTTCAAAATTACATTTGTACTAAAATACTCAAAAAGCTCAAGAAATCAAATGAAAAATCAAAGTCCCCTTTGTTCTTCTTAAACTCTTTTAACATATTACATTTTTTGTCTTCTTCTTTTCGGCAACAAACTTCTTCCATACATTAGTGATCTCCAATTGAACTTCCATTGCCGATTTCTTATGCACTCCACTGCTACTCTCCTCAGCCGCAGCCAACTTAGCTGAGACTCTGGCCGGGAGCGAGTCGAGCTCGTGGAGGACTTTTTCAATGTCCGCCACGAGCCTCTCAGCTAGTGTCCGGGAGAAATCTTCCCGGATCACAACCCTGAGCACGGTCACGTGCTCAGCATTTGGTGGCATTGTGTATGCTGGCACAATCCATCCGAACCTCCTAAGATGGTCCGAAACCTCGAATTCGTTGTGTTTGCTGTTGTCTTTGAGGGAGAATGCTACTAATGGAACTCCAATTTCTTTGGAAACTATGTTGAATTTTCCTGTCTTTTCAAGTCCTTCTTTGAGTACCCTCGCATTTTCTTGACAATTCTCCATAATATTCCTGTATCCCTGGTAAATAAGACAATTCACAATGGTAGATTATTAATTAGAATAATTTTGGGGTTAAAGGGTATCATGTTAATGATTATTTTTCATAAGTATTCAGCTTACCTCATAGCCTAAGCGAATAAGTTGATAATATTGAGCAATTACTTGACTAGAACCTGCGTCAAGAAAAAAAAAATAAAGACTTGAACTTTTGTATATTAACAGTGAAAAAATAGTTGTTGTTGATTGGGTTACATAAAAGTCATTACACATAACCTACTAAAAAATAGTTAAATTATCCTGACAGTGTAAATTTTTTGTACAGCTTTTATGTATATCAAAGAGTTTGGATATACATTTAGTTGAAACTTGAAAAAAAGAGTTTTTGAAGGTTATGTTGAAAAATAGATTTTGAAAGTTAAAGTTGTGTTTGAACATGCATTTTAATAGGGAAAAAAGCTAACGTTTTGTGAGTGGAAGAAATTTTTTTCGCCCGAACAAGTTTTTGGAACTTGAAATTTTTTCTTCAATTTTTTTTCAAAAACTGATCAAACTCCATGAACAAACAATATTTTCATTTTTCTTTTTCCATAAAAGTCATAAAAAAAAAAATCCAAGTCCAAACAGGAGCTAAATCCTATTGGAAAAGCAGTTTTCGTCGCGCGAAAGCACCACATTGCTTTACAATATTGTACCCTATGTCTTGCTAGTTGTACATTGAATAGAAAGTAAACCAGAGGACAATGATTAATAATTGAGTTCATCTTGAAGTTTTTCTATAAAAATATATTGAAAACATATTCATATATAGCTCATTATAATTTGCTTACCTTTAGAGAAGTTAAGGGTGAAGGTAGGTTGATCAGCACCAAGATAATTAATGTGGAAAATAAGCTCTTCAGGTAAATCTTCTTTGTTCCTCCAAATAACCCAACCAATACCAGCATAAACAAGACCATATTTGTGACCACTTACATTAATACTTTTTACTAATGGTAATCTGAAATCCCATTCAAGTTCTGGATATAGGAATGGGGCAATGAATCCACCACTTGCTGCATCCACATGGATTGGAGTGTCCCACCTGTTAATTATAGTAATCAAATGTTAGACAAGTTCGATGCACAAAGCATCCTACGTTTATGCAGGTTTCGAGGAAGGGCCGCACCACATGCAAGAGGTATTATGTAGACAGTCTACCATAATGCAAGCATTAGTGGGCTAGTGGCTGCCTCTATGGCTCGAACTTGTACGTAACCTATAGACCATATGGGTAACGGATAATATTATCCGTGTTTGTAATGGATTTTAGTGAAATCATGCATGTGAACGTTAATTACGTACTAAGTTATACCGATTAGCGGGGTATAAATCACTTTTAGCCTGCGACAGAAACTATTTAAACTAACAGAGGCCTACAGTATCGATCTGACCCTGGCGTAAAGACAAAAGAGAAGTGGAGATGAGTGAGTTACCCAGTTTCTTTGTTCTTCTCGACCAAGAGATCATTCAAACGTTTAACATCTTCAAATTCTCCATTAAGGGTGGAACCCAAGATAGCAGCTACACAAATAGTGTTCTCATCCACCATTTCTACAGCTTTCTCAGGATCCATAACGTAGTACCCATCCTCTAATTTCACTTCCTTTAGCTCTACTTCAAAATACCTTGCAAATTTCTCCCAACATACCTATAAAATTAAGGATTTAAGTTATATACTTGAAAGCGTAAAAGAGGTTTATACTATTATTGCAATTTAACTAACTATATATAATAAGCTATATCACTTTATTTTTCAGGTTATCATATCAGATTCGGCATAAAGAGTTTTTTATTGTTATAAATCAAGTTAACGTGATAATATATAAAATTTATACACCATTATTAATGCACAGAAAGGTCAATCTATGGAAGACCTTCGCGGAGCTTAGCTTTAGGAGAAACACTTTTTGTGGTCTTGCACATTTAGGGGTCGTTTGGAATAAAAAGTTATACATATATTAGCTTTGGTAATATTAATCTCTTGTGCGATAGTATTTTTCAATCTATATATAACTATTACCTATATTAGTTATTCATCATATTCAATATTATTCTTATATAGCAAATAATGGGAATAACAATATAATAATTTTTAATATATGGATATGCATGTATAAAGCCAGACCTGTCCTTTCAAAATATTTTTCAAATCCTTTCCAAAGAATATGGAGGGTATTTTTGTAAACAAAAAAATTTTAAAAAAATGCAATGCATGTTATTTTTAATACATCAAACGAAACAATCGGTAAGAAATAATTCTAGCGTAACTAATTTCAGCATAACTAATTTCACTATTACTAATACATCATATTCAGTACTATTCTTATACACCCTACCGAACGACCTCTTAAAGTCAAGTATTTCATGCAAACTTGATTTACGAGCACATTTAAAGTCAAGTATTTATACAAATATTCACTATTTATTTTTTCTTATCCATATACAAAGATTATATATGATTACATATATATTATGTATAAACTATATATCTATCATCTATTTTAATTTAAACGATTGAGTGAGCGACTATTTAGGTTAATTCTTAGTAAAGAAAAATAGTAAGAGTGAGCTCAAAAGCAATGGACTTTCAATGGGAAACATACCTGGACATTGGCCCCAGTGACAATATTGGGCTTGTCAAAGGGTTTTCCTTGGGCTTTCATTTTGTTTTGCCATTTTCTCTTAAATGCTAAACCAGCAAGCATTATGGCTTCTGAGGATCCAACAGTTCCAACTCCAACTGCAGTCTCTTCCTCTCCCAATGGTGCGTTAAATAAATGTGCTATCATGTTTACACATCGATTCTGCATTACATAAATAAGTTTATTAAAAACAAAATTAATTTATATGTTAGAAAAATTATTTGATCAATTTAAACACAAATTACGCCACCATGTTCCTAAAATGATCATGATTTAAATCGACTATATTATCCAGTAACAATTAGGAGTCGTTTGGTAGGGTGTATAAGAATAATACTGATATGGTGTATTAGTAATATAGGAATTTGTTATGCTCGTATAGTTATGCTGAGTATTTCTTATGACTGTTGGTGTGACGTATTAAAAATGACATCCATTGTATAATTTCTAAAATTATTTGTTTACAAAAAGTTTCTCCACATTATTTCGCTTTGAGGGACTTCAAGTGCAATTTTATCTTTAAACATACTTATGCATGTATTAATAGCCTTGGTATTGCTAATACTATGGTTTGTTATGTATTAGTTATACATAGGATAATATCAAATAAGGTGTATAACGAATACTCGTATTAGTTGTACATAGGTTGAAAAAATGTACTAAACAAATAATTAATAATATTAAAATTTGAAGCTAATACATATATTATTTTCTCTAATATATACAAATGACCCTTTATTTAATGTGTAAATTGTTTTATGGAAAATAGACATTATCTTAAAATAGAGAGCAAAGGAATACTTCTACAAAAGGTCACTCAACTTGAAGTGATAATTGTTAGAATATACTATAAGCCATGCGTATTGTTATAATATTCTTTATGAACAATTATTTA